TTTCTTTTTTATAGTGCTCGATTGTATGTATGCCATGACCGATGTATTTACATACTAAAATGATTTGTTCAAGGCCTATGTTATATAAAGGAACCATGTCTTTGTTTGGAAACATTTGAGTTACTGATATTAGATGGACATATCTGCATTTCATTCCTTTCCTATAAATGCTTTCTGCTATGATTTTGCTGATTAAGGTCTTTCCGAAACTTCAAAAAAATCCTTACATAAATGAGCAGCGGGTTCCAGTAAAGTTCCAGAACACAACCATTCCCCACGATAAATTAAAGTTAAAACTATTTTATATCATTGACAGCTGCAAAAAGATGCTTGAGTTTCTGACTGACAAAATCTATGTTGTTTTGGGAGACCAGGTCTTGCAGCAATCTATTCCAATAAGTACCATTTGCACCCTGTTATTATCAGACCTATTTCATATGAAGTAGAATTTGTCCAAAATTTATACGTGAAAAGAAGAAAATATTTGTTGTGGCCTTCAACTCAACATTAAGATATATCGATGATGTAATGTCAATTACCGGTAACAATTGTTATAATGCCGATTCGATATATCCTGGTGAGCTTGAGATAAAAGATACCACAGAGTATGACACATCTGTTTCTTATTTGGATATTTTACTTGAAAAAGACGTTAATGGTAATGGTTTATGATAAGCATGATACCTTTCACTTTTCTATCGTTAACTTCCCTTACTTATGCAGCAATTTATCTTCATCACCTACATACGGAGTTTATATATCTCTGTTGATTCGATACGCAAGATTATGCTCTAAGTATGAACTATATTTCTTAAACTAATTGAATTACTGACAAACAAATTGATGAAACGAGGATATCAGCAATCTCGTTTAATGTCATCATTTCATAAGTTCCATGGTCGATAAAATGACCTTGTCAGCAAGTAATTTATCATTGAGTCTAATGCTGACAAACGCTATCAATTGTTAGTCCATTATTTACACACTTAATTGACGACTGATTTTTCTATTATACCTTGATCAAGACAAGGAGCACACGGCGGGTGTACCCGATTGGCAGGTGATGATCACTTCTCAATGGCACCTGATCCAACGTCTAATGTTTTGGAGGTCTGTGTTTGCTCTGCTCCTATTTTGTATCGATTTATGTAGTTTTGAGCCTGAATGCTGTGCATTTTCTCCACATATTTTTACATTCTTTTAAGGACAGATGATACAAACAAAAAAGGGATGTTTGGATTAGTATATATTTTTGGCCTAATATCATTGCAATTGATGCAAATAATAAATTTCATGAATATAAGGAAATTTTAAACCTTCTGTGATGTTCAAAATTCTACCTTTCTGAAACCATCCTTGTTAAACTTTACAAATATTTTTCACTTCAAATCCCATTTTTGTGAAACTTTGAATAAAGAAATTAAAAACTACGCTGTGAACCTTATTCATTTTACTCATTAAAACATAACCCAAGTTGTTATTTTTGAATTTTTTGACAAAAGTTTGTATCATCTGTCCTTAATATAATAACCTTCTTCTGAAGATCAGTTAGCCATTGCTAGTCATATTTATGCATATGCTTCCTTATGTATAGTAGCATCAAGTTAATTTAAATTGTGTTCACACAGATTCGAGGGAACAGCAGAGGGTTAAATATAGAAGAATTCTCCTGGAAAAAAATGTCTGCTAAAGCCATGATTGCTATTATACACAAAGGAAGCATTTTCAAGTAGTATAAATTCAGAATTGTTCATATTCAGGTTGGGTAGGGCCACAATAAGCTAATTTTACAGGAATACATATGGAAAAATTAAAATTATTCTGCTTAAGGAGAGCAAAGCCATAATCATTATTATTGATAAAAAAGTGCTCCATCCTTGGATAGTGTAAATTCTAATTTTTCCAGTTGCTGTTTATGTCGTAAAATGCTCATTAACTGTGTGTATTTTATAATTTTTTAATGTTAACGTTTTGTATCAAATTTCAATAAGGTAAACTTGTATTTAAGATGATATTTTTCATATATCTCTCCAAAGGAGTCAATATTTAAAATTTTAACGAAATTCTTATGTTGATTCATCAGACTGATCATTCTTTGTCGAAAGTTATTAACTTGCAATGCGAAAGATCACCTGTGCTACAAGATATTCTAAAAAAAATCCTTTATGTAATAGGTTACTTATCACACCAATAATGTTGTATTATATAATTTTTGTCACGTATTGGTGTAAAGGTATATATATAAATAATTTCCATCTCTCTGATTGGCAATATTGTTAGAAAAATATTACGTGTAGGTCGTGATGAAAACCTCTACATTGATCTTTGAATTCAAATTGGTTTTAGAAAGCTATCTATGACATCTTTTTATTTTCATTAAAAAAAAATCATATATATTTTAGATGCGACTACTTAGTGGGGGGATGTGAAAGACAAAGGTTAAGTAAAAGAAAAGTATACATGTAGACAAATATAAATTTTATTTTAAAAAATAATGAATGAAAAAGAATTTCATTATTAACGCTTCAGTCGCAATAAAGAATACAAGTTTTACAGATAAGAAAAAATATTCCAGAATCTTGGGGTAAGTGAATGGAAACCGTTTTTCACACCTTAAGCTTGAATCATGTATTGGTAATGTTGATACTATAAAAATAATGTGGATTTATATTGTTTTATGGACTTTTGGGCTTTAATATTGTCCGTTTTATCCATATATTTCATTAGAAGTAAGCATAGGTTGAGTATTTTTGAACTAGCATTCAACAATGAAGAATTGATTGGTCAATAAGTGATGTTTGAGAATTATTGAAATTGTTTCAAATACATTTTTAAATACATGCAGCCAGCAGTTATTTATATGGCGGCCGCCAGATAAAATATTTTTTCTACCTGGCATCTATCGGCTTCCGTAGAAAAGGGAATTTTCATGAAGACAAAGTTTAAGTTCACCGGATAAATTAAGTTTAAGTTACTTGGTTTGCAGGAGGCATGATATAAACTTTAAATACCCTCAATTTTAGAATTTTACTTTCCAATGACATGAAAGGACAACAAACAATAAAAGTCCAAAAGCTTATTGAAACAATTCAGATTTGGAGAAGATCAAACCCTGACCTCCAAAAATATCATAGGCGTGGTCAAGCACAATAAAGGAGCAAGCACGTCCCTCCCTGACACGATATGTGCCGATGAACTTTAGATCAAAGATACCACATGTTTGTTTATTTTACTAGAAAAAGTCGTTAAGGATAATCTAACAGCAACACTTTATGATGAAGGTGATGATTTTAACTTTTGAATCGTTAATTTCCCTTACTTATGCAGCAATGTACTATTATTCTTATCACCTGATTATCTCTCAGTTGTTTCAATACGCAAGAGCTCTACGTGCGAACAATTTTTAAAAGGAAGTAAGTTAATGACAAACAAGTTGATGAAATAGTAATATAAGCAGTCTCGTTTAAAATCATCATTTTCTAAGTTCTATGGTCGACACAATGACCTTGTCCGTACGTTTCCGATCATGACAAGGAGCACACGACGGTTGTGACTGATGCAGGAGATACTCATTCCTCCATGGCACCTGATCCCACCTCTGATGTTAAAGAGGTCCGTGTTTGCTCTGCTCCTGATTTTTATTGTTTGATGCTTGGATACCGTTCATTACCTCCATATATTTCATTCAGCATTTTGTAAATTTTATTATTTACCCCCGGTATTATGAACTTATCATATTATTACCGTATTATGACCTTGGTAGCAAATAAAACCTAACTTTGTGTTGTATTTTGGCTGACGTGTTTCAAAAGAATTTCTAGACGTCTGTTTTTTCACCCTCTTTGGAATTTATTTTCTACACGATCCATACATAGTCATATAGGTGTGACCGTTAAAAGTGAACATTAATTCCTTATAAGTAGACGATTTCATCTGTAAAATTTCTAGGTGTCTGTGTATTATGTTCTCTTGTTGAAGATCTTTCTAGTTCTTTATTCTTTTTGCACATATACAATATTTATTGAAACTCTCCATCAAAATTATTTTCTCTTTTCCAAACATAGACATTATTACTAACAAATTGAGGGATTTTAATTTCGGTATGTCCGTTCTTAACTCTGTATTTCTGTCTGTCTGTTACACTTTCGTATTTGCCCGATTTCTCCATAACCTTTGGAACTTTTGTAGTGAAATTTAATAACTGGAGGAAAGACCACTATTTATTTTCGGTCAAAAGGACAAAGATCAAGGTCAAAAATTCATGCATTCTCTTTTCGTGTAAAACATTTATTTCAGGGTGATATCTCTAGAAGTTTTTAGGCTTTAGCAATGAAATGTTACACTATTACGGGTGTCTGTATTTACTGATTTGATTGTTTTAAATATATTTTTTAAAAAACGATAATTGTTGGATGTATCATTCCTTTTTTTCATTCAAAAGGAAAATTCCAAGGATATGTGCCATAAAATAATATTATACTTTCATGTTAATTATTATTATTTTAGTACTGGAAATCATTAACCGTCGTTAACGACTATTATTGGAATTTTAGTGACGATTCACTCACATCTCGGGAAGGCGGAAATTGCTGCGAAATTCAATTTGAAGAGGACTATGGACGCCATATTGACGCCATGTTTCTCACATCCATAGGGAATGAAATAAAAATAAAATATACATTACATTTCTAATATAGGTTTTACATGTACCTATGAGGAAAACTTCATTGCCGGGAGCCCTTTAATCCCTTGAGGGTTTCGCCCCCTAGTTACTGAAAAAAATACTACAGTGACCCTTTAGCTTTCTGGAATGTACATATACTATTTAATTCATTTACCTATTAATCCTCCGATTTAAATTACTCCATGAGAAAAATTCATTTGATACAGAAGTACATTACTACACTAGTCTTCAAAGCAAGATACATATGTAGACACAGGTATTCTATTTCCTTGTTGCCTGATAATAAAAACTAATTTAAATGCGTGACTGCATCCTACGTACGTCCAAAATGGATGTCAGGACAGCTGTTATTTTGTCATGCATTTTAGGTTTAATTTCTTTTCATGAAGGTATGATTTTTTTTATAACTGATTTGATTGGAATAGGGAATTAAAATCATTATCAACCTCTGCTGCGGTTGACAATGTTTTTCTTGTGGTAAAAATTTTCAATGGTACACTCAACCACCTGCAATATTTATATATTTTTTATGTAATTCAATTAATCTAGAATGAATACAAATCAATAACTCAAATGAAGAAGGTTAGCATTAACACCTATATAATAGCTGGCATTGTCCACAAAGGAGTCTCTTCACAAGCAGGTCACGAGGTCGGATACGTGTTGGTTTCGTGCTGCAAATACAGCCATAAATAACTTTTATAATTAGTGCCTAGAACAAGTTGTTTATTTATTCTACTTCATTTTGATTTACTAGATATCATTCAAATAATAGCGTGTCACTTTGTTTGATCAAATGTGCTAAAATTACAAAATTACAAAATGTTGATCACATTCACCATGCATATGTCTCATGGATTTGGTTTTGTATTTTGCATTTTTGATTTCAATGAAAAGAATACCATTTTGCATGTAAACAGAGAAGATGACAAATGTTTTAACTAACCACGTGTTGTTTCTTATTACAACTGCGTGTTTGTAAACAATCATTCAAAGCAGTTGGTCAGTATTATTAGCGTATTCCTTGATTCTCTATTTCACATATACAAAATAGTATTTATTTTATTGAAAACAAGCACCCAATAGAAATAAGGTGGTGAATTAACATTTGAAAGTAAAGCAGGTTTGATCAAACAAAGTGGCAAATTATTACTGGAAGGATAGTATAGCATCATGATGAAAAGCATGCTTTACTAAAAGGTCACCATTAGATACTAAATTTGGGGAATTCAAAGTATATCGCTTTGATTTTATCACTGCATTATATGCTGATCCGTCAATTTGTCATACACAGTTTGGTACAAAATATTTGTATTTTAATGCTGATATTTTAATTTTTTTTTATAAAGAAATTGTAAAGCATTTAAATCACACAATGCATTATCTGCATGAAACTGCAACACGTGATTCTTTTGAAATGTGTCCAACAATTTATGATGAAACACTATACTACCTCTTCAATTTTTAACAGAAAGGTAAAAAAAATCAGTTTCTTTGAAATCTACTCGATCTGTTTGACTTAAAATACAGGGGCTCGTAACATAAAGCTTGCTAAGTTTTTGACTTAAGTAGCGTCGTAAGTACGTTTTAGGCACAATCTTAGGACCTGTCTAAGTACTACTTAAGTATGTCTTAAATCGTAACATAAAGTGAACTAAGCGAGGTCTTAGCTAAGTCAAACTTATGTTAAAAATATTTCATATACGTCAACCAATGGTTTTTGATTTTGTATAGATATATTGCTAAAAGTTATTCAGTTAGGGTTTTAATTAATTACATATAAAAGTTGACGTCCTTGCCTATCGGTTTAAGTTATTTTAGATTAGATTTCATATTAAAATTATAATTATGTAATGAATTGTTCGGAATGTTTGGAAACAAATATGTCTCCTATTAACAGCAATTTCTCTCTCTCTCTCGATCTCGAACTGTAGTGAGCCCTGTCTAAATCCGCACTTCTCGCGTTCTATATTTATTTTATACTTTACAGATACTTTTTATAATATTACTGTTACTGTCATCACCCTCTTTCTTTTCTGTCTTTAACAAATTATTTCAACTCATATTTTCAAAGTGAACATACTGATCCATGGTTTATTACTGTGTTCAATTTATTTCTATAACCGAGACCCCACTAATTTCAGATGTATCCCTAAAATTAAATTTTGTATTTACATGAATGCTGTGTTGGGAGTGATCCCTAAAATTATTTTTATTTATTTATATGTATGCTATGTTGGGAGTAATATTGGAATCAGTGATCAGCCCCCCCCCCCCTCCCCCCACGAAAAAGTAAAATTCTTAAATTATGCAGCGTCAAATAGAGATAATTATTTTCTTTAATGTATATTATGAATAGAGAAATGTTTGAACATCGAAAGTCTACATTAAATAATTCTAAATATATGTACAAGAAAGTTAAGATATACTTAAGTCACCTCTACCGACTGCCTAAGTTTTGCTAAGATTGCCAAATCTTAGCACGCTTCTAGTTACGGTCTTAAGTTTTAGCCTGTACTTAAGTCCTACTTAAGCACGGTCTTAGACTTAAGTATCCTTTATGTTACGACCCCCAGGTTACTGACTCTGTGTAACTGAATTTTGAACTCATCATTTAATCATCCTACTTTATAGAAGCTGAGAGTTAAACGAAACCATTTTAACTGAACATACTCGTATGCTCAATATAATTGTTAAATGACAAAAACTGCAATGTCATAGTTACTTTTCAGTACCAATGCACTCTTAGATGCTCGTCTACTCTCAACTTAATACCGGGAGGTATATAGTTATATTGATTACGTATTAATGGGAATAAATCTTGATGTTTAATGTCTATGACAAATTGTGTTTCATTGCTTTTCTAACTTTTTCAAATAAGTACGATGTATTAAGATTTCGTATAGATTTTATTGCTATGTTTGATATTTAATAATCATGAACGTATCTTTAACCCCCTGCTGGTTACAACTTCATACAAAAATAAAAATGATAGCGTTTAGTATATTTTTATAACAGAGAAATAGCATAAATTTATGTAAATATTCATTAACTATACATAAAAACACACCGTACAATGATACTCAAACTACACATATAAGACTTGTAGACTTTATCTAATTTGATTAAGTATTTTAGAAATATCTAAGAAAAAAATCAGTATGCAAAATAATATTAGCCTAATTCAGAAACTGCTCTATAAATGCCATTTTTACTCCTCATAAAATATTAATTGCTTAAAAACAGACAGATAGTTTTAGCTTTATAACAGAAAATGTTAACAATAATAGGCATAAAACCTGAGCTAGTCAATGCATCGTATTTGGGCTATTAATAACTCCTAATGAAGTTATTAAAACATGTATAAGGATTGTTTTGGAACATGTTTTTTATTCATGTTTCTTTTAGTGGAAAGTACATTCTGTGGATTCGAAGATGGCAATGCTTGTGGATGGGTAAATGTTAATTTTAAGGTATCTCGATTCGAAACTCCCTTAGCTAATTCGGGACCAAAGACTGCTTTCCAAGGAGGTATGTATTCGTAGAATATACATAATAATTTTTTAAGCATCCTTCTGTTTCAATTTATTTTATAAAATTAATACTATTGCAGAATACTATGCATATTTTTACGGAAATGAAACTGTGACGGATGCAATCCTGGAGATCCCAAATGCTAATGGTGGATGTCTATTTTTTGCCTTTCATATGTGGGGATCACAAATGGGGTCCCTCTGGGTAAACGTCACTACGGAGGAAGGAGTTCAGCCTTTGTTGGTAAAGGAGGGCAATCAAGGCAACGAATGGCATTGTGTTGGCATTGCACTACCAATAAATCCACTATCCACAGTATGTGCATCGTTATATGTCAGTGAAAGGAAATAAATTAACCTTTTTTTCCTTCAAAAAGGTTAAATAAATAACCCTTTTTTTCAAATAAGAATAAGCTATACTCTTTTTCCATATCACACTCGGTTTCAGCTGAGACACTTTTGCTTTTAGCCTTATGTTTCTGGCTGATATTGGTGTCTCGGGCTAAAGGATGTGACAGGAAAACGAAGATATTACATTATATTTGATTACGGTACAAACCTAGTAGTAAAATACAGCACATGTCTACTGGAGCATATACAACTCCATAATCTTATGAAAACAGATATTTAGAATAAAATTAACGAAATAATTATGTGTTCGTAATAAGAACTGCATTTTAAATGTTTAATCTACAAAAAATGTAATATATACGTTTCAACCCTGCTTATCCATATCAGCCCTTTGAAATAAGAGATATTGCATACGCCGTAAAACCTGTATTTATTTTACTAGTTATGTAATAAATATACACATTCGTGTATATGTTAAATTAACAGAGAGAGAGAGAGAGAGAGAGAGAGAGAGAGAGAGAGAGAGAGAGAGGTATAGATTTCAAATGGCAAGGTAATTATTGAATTTTCATTTTTGAAGATCAACATACATGCTAGGAGAGGTGGAATATCCAGTATCTTTGGTATAGACAACATTTTGATTTTTGATCCTCTACTAGATTCATGCGATGTCATCAGTAAGTTTGTATTGGACACTTAGCAAACACAAGCAAATTTTAAGAATTGTGGTCTCTCGCTTTCGGTGTCTTAGTGGATGCAATGTCATTATTTATGGCATATAGTGTCAAATTTGTACGCCCTATCATATGTATTCTGAAGGGCAGACAGACGAATGAAATTTAATGTCCCCTCATTTACGCGAAAGCGGGGGACAATGAATGTTTTAATATACATACTCTTAGATATTAATTCAAATAATCTTGAGTTATAATGTCATCGCTTCTTCGCACTAAAATATAAGGAATCACTGTCTAGTTTGTTGGGTATGCAAGCGCTGGAACTGGAAAAAAATTGCATAGCGGGCGAAGCACGTTTCCAGCTATCTTTTATGGCAAGTCCTTTTATTATTTATTCGTGAACTAGAAATTTTCTTTCAATAAGAGAGATATCTCGTAAGCATAGAGAGATATCTCTTTAGCTTATAGAGATATCTCTTTGACTATTAGAGATATCTTCATACCTCAGAGAGATATCTCTTTAAACAATTGAGATATCTCTTTTTGTAAGAGAGATATCTCTTTTACTTAGAGAGACATCTTTATAAGCTAAAGAGATATCTCTTTAAGCGAGAGAGATGTCTCTGAAAGTTAGAGAGATATCTCTTCAACAAGATTAAAGAGATATCTTTCTTAGTTAGAGAGATATCTCTTTAGATTTTCAAAAAGATATATCTTCATAAGCTAAAGATATCTCTTTTAATGAAAGAGATATCTTTTTTCCAGTGATCCCTAAAATGGAATAATTTATTCCCCCCTTTCAAACGAAAGCGAAACAGGAAGTAAAGTCTCTGGAATTATTTCGCTCGAAAAAAGACTGAGCATGTCATATCCAGAATAATATATGAACTATTCAGACAAAAATGTTATAAATCTCTTATTTGAAACAACAAATAATAATTGCAACTTCGTTGATAAACAATGCTAAAAATTTAATATTCAGGAAAACGAAAGTAAGCATAATAGCTCAAATGCAGTGGACCGAATTTTCTCAGCTTTTGAAATAATCAACAATTACTCATTTGAAATCTAGACAACACTGAATTACTTGTCACGTTTAGTAAAGCTATAATGTAGAATATCATGAATATGTTTGCAAATTAAATACTTTAATCCATTTCCGTGGATAAAAGCTTACTTCCGATAAAGGGAGAAGTCATTAAAAACGCAATTTTAATAAAAATAATGAAGAGAGATATCTCTTTGCAATAAAGAGATATCTCTTTTTGTTTGAGAGATATCTCTTTTCTAAAGACACTTTTGAAAGATATCTCTTTCACTTTGAGAGATATCTCTTAAGATAAACTAAAAGAGATATACCTTTTACTTTAAGAGATATCTCTTTAACTTGGAAAGATATCTCCAAAAGTAAAACAGATATCTCTCTAAGAGAAAGAGATATCTTTTTAACGTTCAAAGAGATCTCTTTTCACAAAAGCAATATCTCTCAAGGAGAAAGAGATATCTTTTCAAGTGGAAGAGATATCTTTCTATTTAAAAGAGATATCTCTCTAAGTTTTAGAGATATCTCTTTCTTATAGAGATATCTCTTAAAAATGAGAGATATCTCTTTAATTTGGGAGATATTTTTTTTTTTAAAAGATGTCTCTCTAAATTTAAAATAAATTTTATTTTCCGAATAAATAGTAAAAGGGCTTTCCATAATCTTTGATATCCCCAGGCTGGCATACCCAACACACTAGACAGGGATCCCTTCCATTTCTATTTTATTGTAAAATAAAATTGTCAATTTAGATTTGAGAAATGTTTAATAGATTTTAATTACACGAAGTTTCCTATGCCAAATCCAATAATCCCCTCCCATGCACACAGAAAACAAATAGAAATGGATATATTACACAAAATGCATCTATATGGAGGCAGTAAAAATTCATTTTGTTAGCAGGTCAAAATCTAAATGCGCAGACTTATGCAGCTGAACATATTGATATACGAACTTTTTGCTTTATCGATAATTTATATAGAAATACAAATGAAAATAGTACATTGTTTTTATTTCATGTTTCTAGAATTAGCAATACTAGTACCCGTCTGGCAAATGTATAATCTGTTTCACATTAAATATCATAATTCAGTCAAAAAAAATCCAAGATTAACAAAATGCAAACTTGATCTGTAACACAGCAAGATACTCCCATGCACACACCAAATTTCAGCTCCATATCTGGACACATTAAGAGAAAAGGAACGGAAAACCAAGTGGGCAAACTGACGGACATACGGAGGCACAGCTATACGGACAGAAAGACAGACGAGGAGGAAAATCTGTAGTTACCTCTGGTTTCCGCTGTGGGGGACTAATAAAATATTTTAGACAAATTTGTGATCTAAGCGTTATTCACAGAGATACTTTTTTTTTCTTTTTTAGACTGTACCTTTGCACCGTCGCAAATTAGAAGTACAACACAAATGTCGATCTCACCTTCGATCACAAACTCGGTTAATACCATGGCAGGTGCCCCGACGACTCAGACTCCAGACTTCTTCACAGGTTGGGGTCATAAACAGCTTAAGGCACTTCCTGGATCAAGAAAACGATAGAGATGCCTTGGATGCTCTATACTGGAAAATATTTAATTTTTTTTTACAATAGCATTTAAAATATGAGATTTTCATCTTTAAGAAAGGCTTCTTCGTGTCAATTTTCATACCAGTTTTACATTCATACTTGAATTGTTTGTCTGCATTAATTAACTCACTGAAATAGTATTTTGAAATAGGAGACATTATTTCAAAAAACTGCATACAAATGACTGAATAAAAACAACAAGTTCATGAAAACAGTGTTACATCATTACACGTAGAACATTTGTTTGATTAATCCCTCTCATTAATTTACAGAGAACTTACCGCTGATTACTGGGGTACCTGGAGGTCTTGTATTCCTCATTATTATTGCTGGTATCTTCATAGTTGTCTGTAGGTAGGTCATAAGTAGGTAGATAAAAATGAATTTTAAATAATAAAAAAAATAAAGTAAAAGGCTTTTCCTTCATATCCATGCTTCTTAAAACAGAATTTTACATAATTACAATGACTGACTTACGACGGCGTATTCGTGCCATTTGACAAAGTAGAAAAAAAAATTTAAATCGGTTGTACGATTTTTTAAATCGTTTGAACGATTTTTTAAATCGTTTGTACGATTTTTTAAAAATCGTTTGTACAATTCTGAAAATCGTTTGTACGATTTAGAAAATCGTCTGAACGATTTTAAAAAAAATCGTTTGAACGATTTAAAAAAAAAACTTTTGAACGATTTAGAAAATCGTTGTATGATTTTTTCTTCTGATTCGAAACAGAAGCGAACTGGATAAGAAGCCTGGTAAAGCTATTGTATAGAGAAGTCCTTTCGCTGCTGACTTTAACTGATACAGAAACACTTATAATAAATTGTATCTTGTTAATTAAACTGTATGAATATTGTTGTCATGGACCTTTGTTACAATCTTCGTCTTTATCTGTTTTTTTCCCTTGAACACACTCCGTGCGGATTTTCTAAATAGAAGCGGTAAATCCTGCCATAATAGCTTTCCAGTGCAATCACCTGTATCCCTGCAATTGACAACATGACTCATTTGTTTCCTCGATGAAAAGAGCTACATCCCCTATGTCGAATTTGTTCTTTCGTCTGAACAGTCCCAACTTAGCTGTTGTCCTTTCCAGCGTTCGTTCGTTCACTAACAAAGACTCGGTGAGATTGCGAAAGGATATGTGCAATTTCCGAAAAGTGAAACCCATCTTGAAATATCCCTTCAACGACGTGGATATGTTGTCCTACTTGTGCAATGTTTTCTACCAGGCTTCAGCGTGTAATAACAAGAAATACAAATCGTACAAACGATTTTCTAAATCGCACTAACGACTTTCTTAATCGTACAAACGATTTTAAAAAATCGTTCAAACGATTTTCTAAATCGTACAAACGATTTTCTAAATCGTACAAACGATTTTCTAAATCGTTCAAACGATTTTTTAAAAAATTGTCTACATTGTCAAATGGCGCGAATACGCCGTCGTACTGACTTAAGTTCCATGGCAGAAAAATATAAAATGAATAATTAGGAACATATGGATGTTTTATCATCAATAAAATAGTAGCTACTGTAACGTGTAACGCGGCCAAGCTTGGTGTATGGTGATATGGCTTGTATCACTAGGCGTTACACTTAGGTTCGTTAACCTGTTAACTCAGATTTTTGTTGACCAATATACAGTTATAATACAATAATACAAATAGGTTTCTTCTTGATTGGACAACCACTAACTGTGGTCAACGGGTGTCTCCCGCAAATGAATTTCTTCGGTCCTGACACTAAAAACATACTGACTCCTGGCACTTCCCCCACCTTTATCTGTGGTATGCCACCTCTCTCTCTATAACCAATTGACTGCCTTATTCAGGTCTTACGTTATGGCTATTGTAAATTCTCAGGCTCAGTGACCTCCGCAACTGTGTGCCTTATTAACTTAAGGTTTTACTACAAGGTATATCAAGGTTTTACTACAAGGTATAATACGACACGCAATTCATAATTACAGCAAACACCGTCTCCAGAGAGGTTTCAATACTCTCTAAAACATCATGTATTATTTCCGGGCAGTTTCCAAACTTTGGCAATTTCAGACTATTTAAATGATCGTAAAATTAATATTTTTTAGTGTTTAAGACTTTAAACAAAAACGTAGGTCTAACGTTTATATGAAACTAAACAACAACTATTCCGTTTCACTGACATTTTCAGCAGATAAATCTAGAAATCTAGAAATATTAATAATGATAAATTGGAATATGGAATGGACTATATAAATCGAAAAAAAATTCAAAAATGTGAGCTAGAATGAATTTGAAAAACCCTGGCCATTCTGTTATTTAGAGGAAACTGTCAACGATCTCTGATCTCTGACGATTCAAGCTGCATATTAAGTGTATAATTCAGTTTTAGCTTTTTTTTTTAAAATCATTAGCTTCATATACCTTATGATAGGAAAATTTCTTGTTTTTATTCTCCTTACCTTTAAAATTCTGGATTATTTCAAATACATGACATGTTTTGCAGGAAGAAAGAAAAAGAGACATTTCCAGAGAATATGATGTCAGACCAAGTTCTGCAAAACGCAAGAACTAATAATAGATACCGGTCATTTCCACACAATCATCAGCATGTAGAAGAAGAAGTATATGATGAGATAAAGGAAGGTCCCGAGTATTCCTACGCCGATACTTACGATACACATAAACCATTAGATGATGAATATTTAAAGCCTATTGAAAAAAATGCTTATCTGGAGCTTCTCACCACGAAAACGGAGAAAAATAACCGAACACTGTCCGATAAATATAAAGAAAACGTGGAAGAAGAAGGATATACGATATTGCCCGCCATTACTCTCCCGATGAGTACAGTCAATGAAGCTCGGTCACATGAGAATGAGGGGTATGTCGACCAGAAGGATCTGAACATTCCTAATAGACCCGGCAAGAAAATATCAATCAGTGATCAAGGGAATGTTACGTATTGTGACATCAGATCAACTACGGAACAAAAGCAAAACATTGCATTGAGTCGAACCTATCTCTCCCTCTCTCATATGTAAGAATGTGATAGCATAATGGGAAAAGTGGAGTTGAGGAACAGTGATCAGGCTCATAAATCCCATAAATAGTACAAACTGTTGACAAGACAAAGACACGAACAGCTGGAAACAAATCAACGAGGTACTTAAAGCAATAAGCATCCTCTGTCGATCCGCCTCATAACAAATACAACAATTTTCGAAATACTGGCTTTAAACAAGATTGTAAATAACCCTGTAACATCAACTTAATAGTCAGATTATGTCTCTGTGTAATTATTCATAACTATCTATTATCCAATTAATCGGTCATAAGTATTGTTTATTATATAATTATTGATAATCCTGAATATAAACTTTTAAGGTTTATTATTTGAATTCCATTTACTGCATTAAATATTTCCTTTAATGTAGGGGATTGCCTCTCAGAGAAACAATCAAAGGCAAACCTATTTAATATCTACATGTCACCATTATAGTGCTTAGATTTTGCTATTTATATCAGAAAACCTATTTTCTTGTAATATCATATTCTTTATAACGAGTGTGAGACGGCGTGTCCATAGTTGCTTGTTCCTGATAGATGTCTCGTGGTGATCTCCTAGGATATATACACCTATCTAATGGTTTTCCTTAATATGTAGAAATGTCTCTTGGTTATCCTTATATATTTTTTTTCTTACATATACGAGACCAAAAAAAAAAGCAGAGACTGCCATGAAATCTTTAACTGTATAAAGTTATCGACATATTTCTATTAGCAATCTACGTATTTTCACTGTTGCTTTAAAATGTAATTCAGTGTATATGCAACGCTCTTTAAAATATTTAAGGTCTTGTCTATTGTCGCACAGCAAGAGAGTACACGTATCGAAGACATGACGCTTATCTTGGATATTCATTTTTAAAATCTTTTCAATCTCTCAAAAAATACGTTTTATTTCATGTACACTCAGCTGAAACTGAAACGTCTAGTTTTTAACCATTTAATGTAAGATATTTTAATTTTTTCCATAATGGATTTGCAGAATCATTTTGCACGTTATTACATGTATTGAATAAGAAAATAATTCCAACTGAAATGACACCTATCACCTTATGTCATTTCCACATAAATGAAATATATTGATATGAACAGTATTCAAGCTCAAATGTCTATTAAACACTACAAATTTTGGAGCAGAGCAAACACGGGCCTCCAAACCATCAAAGATGGGATCAGATACCATGGAGGATTGATTTATATAGCAACTTATATTCTTATGATTTTAATTTTGTCCCTTTATAGCAACGTTTCGGGTGTCAAATTGGGTGGTATGTTGGTTTAAAGCGTTTCAACATTTCAGCTAAGGAAGAAGGAACGTTTATGAACGATCAGTGGAGCTTTAACGTTACTTCCTCTTGAATCTGACCTTACATATCAAATCTAACCCAACTGAATGGATGTAGAAGGTAAAGATAAGGAACAGTGATCCATCTAAATAAAAATCCATCAACCAATTCATACACATATGTTAAAAAGGCATAAAACACGGGCCACTGGAAATTCCACAGGTGGGATCCGATGCCTAGAAGGACTAAGCATACCCTGTTCATCGGTCAAACCCGCGGTGAATCTTTTTTATTGATCAGATGGACGGAACTATTCATAGTCAATTAGACAAAGGCCCAATAATTAATATGAAACAATTTTGTCTTTTGTACATGTACAAATTTCAAGAAATGTACATGTACAAAAGACAAAATTATAGGTCTTGTAATTTTCTTTTAGACAGGCTGATATCGGCCATCGTACCTCGTAAAATTAAAAAAAAATCTTTCTCAGAAAAACTACTTGAGTAGCGAATAAGTTGGTAGAGCCGTAAGCCGAAGAAAGTGTAATATAATTACGTAATAAAGGAAAGTTGTCAGTGGAAATGTTCAAGTCATCTCGGTTGTCATAATTTTACTTATATATATTACATGTATGTTTTATCAAACTGCGCAAACTGTTTTTCAAGTTGCGATAAGTTTTATATGAAGTTCTGAATATAAATGAGCATTTCCTGTTTTAAAGTCTATTAGATCATTGATAGGGAAAAGGTTTCTCAATAAAATTTTGAGCTTAAGAGTCTTTTTCTTGAACATTCATTTTTTTTTTTTACAAGATTTTCATTTATAGGTGTTTTTATCAAGGATGTTTATCTTCCGAATGAAATGAAACTTTTTAGAAATTAACGTGAGCCAAATGATATGAATGCGAATTTTTTCCAGATTATTCATAATATTCTTTTTTTATTATTATTATTACTAGTGGGGTTTTTTCATGAAACAGCAATAAATGGAAGGTTTTTTTTATTTATTTATTTATTTTTTTGCTGCATTGTAATTTTATTTAAGAATATCTGAAAAAAGATGCTAACTTCTAAATTATAGAATTATTCATTTATAGGTTTTGAGACGAAAAATTACCCTCAAGTCTCCATTCACTTTCTGTATGCCATTTTTTCTTTATATTTATGTATTGCAGCATTCCTAGCATGAGCAGAAATTTTCTTTTCCCGACTTTTACAAATGATCATATTTATTTAAAAAATAATTTTTCAATGTAAAATATAGCTTTTTCTATTGTCGATTAAAAACTGAATACTGGATCTTTAATATTTATGTCTTTGTTACACTGTTAAGCTCATTTGTTATATCTATGTCATATTTAATTAAGATAATTAAACAACTAAAGGACATTTCTTCCTTCGTTTCTCATGCGTGTTTATGTAGTCATTTTACTCTTGTGTCCAAGATTTTAAAATTATATAAACAGTATCTCAAACATGCATCATCACAATGCAATATTTAAGAAAGATGGACAAAATTAAGGTTGCAGTAACTTTATTTATCTTCTTTTTTGAATTATTTTGAAAAATCAAAACAACAATGATTGTTAATCAATCATTTTCGTATTCAAATTGAAATTCATGATCACATAACAGTCAGTAGTTTTATTTAATACCGAAAAGATGTTCGTTAATTTACCTTAACTTTCTCTTATAAACCATAACAAAATTGATCTCATAATGTTAAAAAACTATTATTTATAAAGTATGATCTTTTTCTTATATAATACATGTACCAAACATTTCTTATTTATTTCTTCAAAGGAAACTTTCTTATCATTAAAGAAGTATATAAAAGGTAACAATTGTACATCCCAACGGCAGGAAAATAATTACCATCAATAAAAATCCATTAAGAATAATAATTTCTATACAAGAAAATATTTCTATGCAGTAAGATAATTTTAATTTAATTAAACATTGAATAAAATCTTTGTGGGTTTTTTATGCATATTTTTTTCATATCAAAGTAAATAATTTTGCTTTGAATTATTCTTTGGACATTATACCTACATTCAATGTGTCCAATTTTAATAACAACTTTACGTCATATCATTTTCTATTGCATTAGGATTTAACAATTTAACAAAAATCAGTATATATACTTGTATTTTCGACCCAGCGCTCTTGAAACCATCCTCGGAATATACAGGTTCTGTACTCTTTTAGACACTTGGATTACTCTTGGTTTTGTACAAGTGCATCCAACGGGTAGATCTAAATAGGTTTTTACGTATTGGTAAACACCATTTACACATCTTTTTTCAAGCAAGGGAATTCGATACGACACCGGTTTACATTCATAGTTCTCCATTCCATCCATGCAAGTCGTGCACCGACATCGAGCAAAATGAAGAACCTGGGGGTATCGGTTCTCGTTTACGTCCTCAACCAAATCCCAAGGACAAAGCGAGCGTTCGTTTAGAAATACTGGTGACGCGTCTAAATAAGGATTTAGGCACCGGGAATTATCAATGGGTTGTGAAAAAGTGCTATTCAAAATCTCAATTCCATTTGCTTCGAAATGCAAATGCTGCAGTTGTCTTTCAAACTCGTCATCACTCAGTCTGTGAGTACAGTGTTGACAGTTTGTGGGAATGAGAGAAAGCAGAAAGACGATTATTGCTGATATCCATTTTCCCTGCAATTGAATAAAATTGAATGTTATTCGGTTTATGCAAAAATTATGCTTTCATTTTCCTTCTCCAAAAAATTCATGCATAAAAATTTCAGAATATGTTTAACTTGGTGCTAACAGAGTAATATAAACATTTTTAAAAAAATATACCAAGCTAGGTGAATTTTATGAAGAAAAACAAAATGGTAGAAAAAAAATCTAAAAAATCTAATAGGCTGATATTTTCCATTTTGCCTTTTCCTCATAAAATTCATCCGGCTTAAGTTTATATTATACTTTTAGTACCAAATTAACATATTCTGAAATTTATTTTGATCTGTAAATATTTACTGAGTGTGATTTGTCCATATTTGTCATTTTATTGAAAATTAACTAATATTTTCCAAGAGTTATATCTTTTGTGCAAAAAATACAACAGGTTAATGAGTAAATGTAATATGAGATCAATTTAGGGGATAAATTAATTATAAAATAATCCAAATCCAAGACTAAGGAGAAATTTTCAACGAATTATCCATTTTTTCTAAATATGTGACATGATATAAAGTCTCCGCCAAAGAAAAAAAAATTTGTTTCATCTGCCCTTAAAATTGCTTCAAACATCACATTATCTTTCATCAATATCACATAGAAGGTGTTACGGTCTTTGATAAATCAATTTTTTTTCAAGTCGAAATTTGTAGCAAATGATTAATTTACATTGCATAAAAACATATTCACTGAAAGATAATAAAAAAAAATGAAAAATTTTTATTTATATATATATATATATATATATATATATATATATATATATATATATATATATATATATATATATATATATATATATATATATATATATATATATATATATAGTATTTCATACATGACATCTATGAAATAAGAACTATATTTATTGTTTTACAAAATCAAATTGCATTATTTGACATATATGAGAAAATTAAGTTTTTAAACAATTTACACTCTAGTCGATGGTTCAATTGATTTTCTTGAGTAAAGATAATGATGTAAAAGTAGCGAAATTATAGTTTTTTTAATAGATGGTGTGAAATAGTTATATAAAAAGCAACGAAGCATGACTCAAAAGTAAAAGGTATACAGATGAGCAGAGGGGTACATATACATAAGAATAATTAAATACAATAACGGGTGTTTAGATATACTAAATCAGATTTATCAGACAAAAGAGGAATTATGACATAAATATGAATTTACAAAAAATAAGATAAATGATTCGAAGGATTGATATTTTATACAGTTGAACATTTATAAGAAAAAAAATAAAGATAATGATGAAATGAAAATAATACTTTTAGAAACGCAGATTAACATTCCGAAACGATGATCTACGAGGGACGTTCAATAAATAATGTCATTAGCTCGATGGCATACAAAATAGTAGTCATATGACATAAAGCTTGACTTTCTCTCATTATTGAATCTTTAGTGAATTGATAACAGTTTGTGTGACCATTTTTCATCGCATTATTCCAACGTGGGAAGCTGGAAAACAAGGGCTATTGGAGACACTGCATTAAAAATGAATGGTCAAGAATCAGTAAACTAGAGTAAAATTAAACGCTACATTAAAGCAGCTGTAAAACTTGTTAATATCCCAAAAATATATTAACTGAAATATGTGAAATTTACAGCAACCAATGCCTGTTTTTATAGACAGGTGAACATGTAGATTTTAATAAGCAAAAATTATATAATGGGCATCAAAAATGGGTAACGTACTTGGCAACAATGACTTACAACAACCAATGTAAATTTGCAAAATTTCAACAAATCATCACTGATTATGGACCTTAAGAAACATAGCAAAATTGATAAAAATCATTTTGGGGATAGTTCATACTGTTGTAAAGAAACATTTTATAGTAAAAAAGTTTAATACTCAAAGGTCACCCTATATTTTGAAAAAATGAGTGAAAACGACAGCGTGTAGGAATATCCAAACAATTATTTTAAAAAATCAAAAATTGTACTTATCCATGTTTATACGAAATTCTAACAGATAACGAAATTTGAATCCATTTTGCTTTAAGCCGTCAAAACAAATTTATAATAAGATGCACTTGACAAAACTGCAAAGGCCTAAGAAGAGCAAAGAATTGCAAGAGCATAAAACAGTTTTATATGCTATTTTCTTAAATATTAGCGGTCTTGTTCTTCAAATTCACATTCGGGGAGGAAGTTCAAATTTCTGGAGGAGTCTGGAAAACTATTTTTTGCAGAAAAAAAGAAAGGTTTATGAGAAGAAGGAAACAGAATGAGGAATTCACTACATTAAATGTATTCATGACGGCGTCCAAACCCACAGGCTATGAAGAGTAAAGGAGTTTTGGGGATAAACAGAAAGTTAATGTTTTGTCATACGAACAAAATTTGCCAGATCTCTCAACCTTTGACTTGTTTCTTTTCCTAAACTTAGAAAACCATCTATCAGAAAGAAAAAAAACAAGTATAGCAAATCATAGGATCTGCCATATTCCAGTTAAAGGGTCATACTGTGTTCAACAATTAGAAATTGAATGAAAATGTAACGGATACGCGTTTTATCTGAAAGAGAATATTTTAGTTAAATCATTAAGACTAAGTCATAGAAAAGCGTTTTTTGTTTCTTTCCGAGCCCCAATGACATTAGTTATTGAACGCCCCTCGTATGTATCG